TTGCGTTATCACTGCCTCGTGGGTGTGCACAACAGTCATCAAGCCTAATAAATTTTAATGGGTGCATAAACTCTGTGGTCACTTGCAAAGTGTCCACTTCACACGTGTTTTATGGTCTGCGTTAGTAGCTGTCAGGGTTGCATATGTGTGTGGTATCTTCTATTTCTAGCTGGAGTAGGGAACACAATCGTGTGTCTTATAGTTATGTTGATTTTAAGACAGAGGCTGCGTCAATCCTAAATATAGATGATTAAATATGGCAAGCTGAATCTTTTTTGTGCCTTCTGAATGGCCATTTTTCAGTTATTCAAGTCTTAATGGTAAGCATATTGTGGCGTAGTGGTTGATAAACTGCTAGCTTGGACAGTCATTTTAACGAGAGTTCTTGCGTATTACTGTAATTGGTTTCAAATAAAAATTATTTACAGAAAAGGGCAATTTGTTTCAACAAACGAAATATTTTTCCTCTGTCGGTGGAACTTCAAGGGGTTCTTGAGAAGACTCCCAAGCAATCCCTACGATTGGGAGCAGACAAAATACTTTCAAATGTTAATTTGGAGGGAAAAATTGTTCGCGTTACCTAGGGCCAGTCATAAAAGCTGGCATTCACCAGTGAACTCGATTAGCGGATGCAAACCCTTTTGTTTGCAGTTTTTTTCTAGACAAAAAGGCGCAAATAAATCAGCGTTAATCACACAGCACCAACCTCAGCTCTCGCACATTTATAGACGCCTAGCCCGAGAGCCCTGACGCCACAGCGCCAATACAACGTGAACTACAGTATGGTATTGGGGCATAACGAACGCGTCAACAACACCCGCTTCCCAACCACTGCGCATTACTGCGTTGGAGGAGGCTGCAGGCCAGTCATCCTGGGTGGGACTCGACCCCCACTCTTCGGCTCCGGAAACCAACACCTTATCCATTAGGCCACCAGCACGCCCCACCTGCCCAACTGGGCCAGCATACACCCCCTCCATTGTCACTCACTGACGTACCGAAAATGACTGCGCGCCCTATGGATCAGTGGGCGCAGGCACCGAATAAGCACCCGCGGTAGCACTTACCGCACAATCTAA